TCACCAATGACCAGAGTTGCGAATCGCCCAATGTGACGAAAAACGACAACTGAGGAGTAGAAACGCTTGTAGAATACAGCAAAATCAGAAGACTTCACCACTGTTTAACTGACATACAAGGAGAGACACACCTCATAACCTCACGCACGCCAATCTAAGATGGTATATGGGAATTGAAACCTTTGTAGATAACTAGTTAAGATAAATTGCTCAACTTAATCACAAATGTACTTTAACTATTGGAATACATAAAATAAAGATCATCTTTTGTTTTCCCGGACACTTCTCTTAACTAGGGATACAGACGGCCAATTGTTGACGTCATCATTGTTTGAGTACAGATTGATTTTGTTTTATGCAAGAAAAGGGGTCGTCATTAAATTACAACTTAAGCTTAATAATTATAGGTTAGGTTATTTAGGTTGATTGTGGTAGGTGTCGGTTGGTTTCTACGTATTAAAAAAAAAATCTACCAATCAGCGCTTGAGCATAGATGACGTCAATATTTGAACCCTCCACAGCAAAGGGGTTCTGTGTGTAGAGTCTTCCCAGCTGCCTGCCCCCCCCCTCCCCCCACCTCAAACTGGAGATAATCTGGTCAGACTTCTTCAACTCAGCATCACTACGACGTCATTTAGTCACCTGTCATTTAGCTAGTGAGCATCATTTAAATCAACTGTTCCCATGATATTTCCACCAACTTCCAGTCCCTTGATACGCCAAACACGTCCAACCACGTTAAATCATTATTACGAACTGGAGTGAAAATGTAGGTCAGAGAAGCGAGCCCCAAGCATTGATCTCATATCTGTGTCCCCCCGTACAAGGTTATATAACACGCTATACCACTGATACACGTCAGTATGGGATAGGGAGGGGTGGGGTTTATTCGACTGTGGGTGGGTGTGTGTGGGGGAGGGGTGGGGGAGGGGGGCATGCACCTTAGTATGGGTGTGTGTGTAAGAGTAGGAGGTGGAGGCTGAGGTACCCGGTGGCAAGGACTACCTCTCCTCACACCTGACTCTTACCTCTCCTCACACCTGACTCCTACCTCTCCTCACACTTGACTCCTACCTCTCCTCACACCTGACTCCTCCTTCTTCACAGGTTCCTACGTTTACCGATGACCTGTTTTACAAATCAAGGCTTAAGTGGTGTAAATACTTGTTGAAATCTACCAAAAGATTGTATGCACCAGACAGTAGATAAAATAATAAAAAAAATTGAGAATACCTTTAATAATAACATAGAAGGAACGCAAGTCATATGAGAGACTATAATTCCATGTACTTTTTGGGAGGAGGGGGGGCGGGATGATCACACGGGGAGGGAGAGAGAGAGAGAGAGAGAGAGAGAGAGAGAGAGCCCAAGTATTGTTTGAAAATTTAAGCTTAATAAGAAAATAAATGGCAAATAGCTTCACTGATCAAGAAGGATGTAGTGAATAAAAAAAAATCATGGAACGTATATAATATTTTTTGTCCATTAAGTTGGTGTTACTGGAGTTTGGAACCATATGATGTGAAGAGGTCCGGAAATAAACCTTTTTTTATGTTAAGACGTATTTAAAACAACAAGACATTTTTATTTATATTTAGTGTGTTACGTTGAATGGGGGGAATGGGTATAGTGACCCCTTGTGTTCAGTTGCCCTCTCTTTGTCCCTTTCAATTCATTCACTCCTTTTCTTCCCACCTCTCTCACGTCTTCTTTCTTCTTTCCCACCTGTAGTCAATAACCTCTCCCCTCCCCTCTCTGTTCCACACTGCCAAAGGTAAATTCCGTTCCTGCTAACTCACATCCACCGACCCGTGACTACCATATTCCTTCAGCTGTCCACCACTACTCCCTCTCGCCTCCATCACTACTCCCTCTCGCCTCCATCACTACTCCCTCTCGCCTCCATCACTACTCGCCTCACTTAACGCCATATTATTTTATATCACTCAGACGTTAAAGAGGACATTCACTCACTCACTCACTCGGCGGGAATTCGTGGGGAACACTGCTCTCTCTCTCTCTCTCTCTCTCTCTCTCTCTCTCACACACACCTGGCAATGGCGGTATTCAGGTGTAACAGTGGTAAGTGTCCCGCCATGGGTGTGATTCACGGTGCACAAGAACAATGTCCCGCCGGCTCGTGTAAACAACCGCCACACGTGTACTTTCATTTTCTTACTTTTTGTTTACCGTGACGGCGGGAAATCTTCCAAGAGGGAAATGACTCCTGTAAATTAAAAAAGAAAGAGAGGGGGTGAGGAGCGAGAGAGATGGAGGGGGAGGAGCGAGAGGGGGAGAAGCGAGAGAGGAGGGGGGGGAAAGAGAGGGGGGAGGAGAAAGAGAGGGTCAGGAACGAGAGAGAGAGAGACCTGAACTGTTTACTCGTTTCCAAAGCTTTAAAACCTGGTAAACAAGTCAACAATGGCGCGGTCTACTAGCTGAGAGGAGTGTGACCTGACGCACTGACCTTGGCTGAGATAGTCCCCACACAGCCATATTACACACGACTCCTTCGCCTTTACTGCTGGTGGGAGAGCTTATCTATAGTTCACTCGGGTAGTCTCTCAGTGCAATAATACCGCCATCTTTGGTAGCTCAATTGAATTACTTTAGTTTGTGTTTTCATTTCTCTGGTTAGAAGAAAGTATTGGCAGCGTTAAAGCTAGTGTGTGAACCGAAGGAGAACCTAACCTAACCTGCGCTGATGGTGAAGTTGTGCGGAGGGTCTGGTAGTGCGCAGGGTCTGGTGGTGCGCATGGTTGACGACACGGCCACGAGGACAAGGGTTGACGACACGGCCAGGAGGACAAGGGTTGACGACACGGCCACAAGGACAAGGGTTGACGACACGGCCAGGAGGACAAGGGTTGACGACACGGCCAGGAGGACAAGGGTTGACGACACGGCCACGAGGACACGGAAGGACGACACGGCCAGGAGGACAAGGGTTGACGACACGGCCACAAGGACAAGGGTTGACGACACGGCCAGGAGGACAAGGGTTGACGACACGGCCACAAGGACAAGGGTTGACGACACGGCCAGGAGGACAAGGGTTGACGACACGACCAGGAGGACAAGGGCTGACGACACGGACCAAAAATAACGCGAGGATCTACGAGAATCTCTGGCCATGACAAACAACGATGATTGTCAGAACTCATAACTCAAGAGAAAATATTCCACTCACTGAGACTGTGTAGCTTTGTTTCTTCTTCTCTCATAACACAACAAAGATTTCATCCTCTCTCTCTCTCTCTCTCTCTCTCTCTCTCTCTCTCTCTCTCGGTTCATCCTCCTTCGTCCCTTTCTATATTCGCACTTTTACCCTTGACTTTCCATTCAGATTTTCCTCATGTTCTTTCTTTCCCCGTTTCCCCTTCTTCTTTTAACTGTCGTTTCCAATTCTCACTTAGATTCTTTCCCGCTCTTCTCTCCTTTAATTGATTTTCCTTAGGTTCTTTTTCTTTCTCTTCTTGTGCATCCACCATCTCTTTTATACACTCTTTTCCCTTCTCTCTCTTTCTTCCCTCCCTTTATTTTATTTTCCCCTCTCCCCACCCCTATTACTTCCTTTCCCCTTCTCTTCCTTCCATTTCCTCCACTCCTTCTCTCTCTCTTTCTCCCCTCAACCCACCTCTCCTTCCTATCCTTCCTTCATCAAAATATCCCCTCCCTTTCCTTTCACCCCATCACCCCCCCCCCTCTCTCTCTCCTTCACTAGACAGGTAATCCTTAGAGGCTCTCACACTCCCAAAAGGACTCGCAGGATCCAGGACCCCCGTCTGGCTGAGGAGTGTGAAGACGACACTGAACATGGCAGCAGGGAGCTCTGTACCTACCTGAAGGAGAGAAGGGGGGGGGGTAGGATAATAAGGTACAGCAGCGAGAGAGAGAGAGAGAGAGAGAGAGAGAGAGGCAACAAAACACGGGTGGGGAAGGAGGAGGCATCACTGCGTCAGTAACAAGTGGCTGAAGGATGCAAACATTTCGTGATGGCGTCTGTCAGTTTACAGGAGGCTGACACGCACCAGGCTTCAGTGCGTCTCTGCATCTCTGAAAATGCATTTGCTAACTGTGTAGTGTTGGTGTGTAAGTTTGTCCCACTGAAATCTTTGTAACTTTTCTTATTACTTAACTACAACGGTAATATTAATGCCGTATTAATAATGAAGACCAGAGGCGTTTATAACTGAACGTGGACCACTTTGTGGATTGGGCAATATGTAAATTCAGAAAACTGCTGAAGTCTTACAAATATGCAAACAAATTTAAAATTTCATTCACACAAGTTTCCTTATTTTCCACGAGGAACAACTTTTATGCATCTTGTGGCTCTCAGATGCTTCCTTCTTACCCAAGTTGATATTTTGCATAACTTTTGCCGATTTTGTGCAAGAATTTTGCAAACCTAAATTTCACTTTCAGAAACATTTTCTTACTTTGAAAGAAAATTAACCTTTATTTACATATATTCCTGTAGATTTAGTCTGGATTTTTTAATATAATAAATAAAAAGATAATAAAATAAAATATTAAAGAAATCAAGAACACGTGTACAGATAAACATCAACAGTTGCTGATTTTGGATTATTTGGTCCATAACGCGGCAGTTCAACAGACATACATACAAACACCAACAATAATACATTAATAATTATAGTACCAAAAGTCTGAAGGTTAAAAAAAATCCTGTGGTAAAAGTTAGGTTACGTTAAGTTAGGCTTAAGGTGAATTAAATTGGGGCTAATCCTGAGGTGATTCTGGGAACCTTCTTAGACTGGAATTGGTTAAGAAAATCTCCTTGAGTGCAGGGGACAAATGAACCGTGGTAAGGGGTAAAGAGATCTTGGTAAGGGTTAAAGGGAGTATACAAGAAGCTTAGGACCCTAGGTGTAAGGGTTAAGGGGTGAGTCCTAGGAATAAAGGGGAGTATGTTGAACCTGTTGACGGGCAAGGGTAGGGGGGAGGGGAGAAGCCGTTGTGGGCGAGGTACTGACCATCTGGACAGCGTGGTGGTCGAAGGGCATAGCGGTGGGGGTCTGGTCGGGGTAGTGACCTAACACCCGCGCCTTGTAGCTCCTCTCCAGCGGCGGCACCACCACCGCCCCTCCTGAAACACAACAACAACACGTTAGTAACTCATGGTAACACTCCTTAAGTCTTAAGAGTGTATTCACTAAAAACACGTATGGATAGTTTTAAGTAATCAGTCTAACCGACACCTACAGGCGGCAGTCCCCGTGTTGCCATACTGCAGTGTACAGTACCTCCTCCCTTGACAAACTGTACCGCTCACTAGAACACACTTCCATTATCTTAGTGCAAAAAATGAAGTATAAATTCTAAACTTTACAAGGCTACCAAAATAGACGACATAGAATGCTTTAGGGTGTTGTTGTGAGGTAATACAGACACTCTCACTCCCTGTTCCTCGTCTTTCCAACCTTGAGTCGATCAGGTATTTTCTACCCGTATATTAAACTGAAGCCGCAACTTAATATACCTGGCACTGAGCTAAAGAATTTACCTGCATGTTTCAGTTTCTCGGAAATTATTAGAGGTGTACGAGGTAATAGTAAAAACAAAAGCAGGGGAGGGTGCGCACTCTCCCTGACCCTACCCCCTCCCTTCGTGTCGCAGTGGCTAGAGGGAATCCAATTTAATCATAACTGAATTAATAATAATAATACAACAAGTCAAGTTATCAATCAATCATGGTGAAGGGATCAATCAAGAAAGCGAATGCGCGGGCGTAGTGATGGTTGTGGGCGGGCGTGGTGATGGTTGTGGGCGGGCGTGGTGATGGTTGTGGTGCGGGCGTGGTGATGGTTGTGGTGCGGGCGTGGTGATGGTTGTGGTGCGGGCGTGGTGATGGTTGTGGTGCGGCGTGGTGATGGTTGTGGTGCGGGCGTCAGATGGTTGTGGTGCGGGCGTCGTGATGGTTGTGTGCGGGCGTGGTGATGGTTGTGGTGCGGGCGTCGATGGTTGTGGGCGGCGGTGATGATTGTGGGCGGGCGTGGTGATGATTGTGGGCGGGCGTGGTGATGATTGTGGGCGGGCGTGATGGTTGTAGTGCGGGCGTGATGGTTGTGGGCGGGAGTGGTGATGTCTATAGGCAGGCGTGGTGATAGCAGTGCGCAGTGATACGAGGGTGCAGGTCCTTGGAGCGCGGGTGTGGTGATAGTGGTGCGCGGGCGTGATAGTGGACCTTCCGGCGCGGGCGTGACAAAGCCGCCGGGGTGGCTGCTTGCCTGACCTAGATAACCTGACCTTCACTCACCTCCCTCACCGAAGCCTCCGCCTCTTACACACACGGAGCGGTTCTCTTTAGCTCACGAGTTAAATTTATATCTCTTAATTTGTGAGGGAGTTAGAGGGAATAACTAGGTACATCAATTACACTGGGGTTCGACTCCTGGGTTTAATTCTCGATCGAAACTAAAAACCCGGGTTCCCTTCTTGTTAACGAACCCGGATCACCTGGAGATTATCTGATGAGCTCTTAGCTTATTTCACCTGAATATTAACAACCTTAACCCTAACCTAACCTAACCCCCAAGGACGTGTGAGGTTGTTGAATCAGGGAGGCTAATCACCAGGTGTACTCTGTGAAAGATTACTTAAAAAAAATCTTCTACTGTATTATACAATCTTAAATTAATTATGAAAACCCGAAAGAAATGGCTACGTGTGTAATTGTAATCGGTAATAACAATGGCGATAACATGTCGCCTTATGTTTACAGGAAAAATAGGTTACTAGCTCAGGTTAGCTTTAGGGTAAATCAATTTTGTTCTATAACAGGTCTCTCTCTCTCTCTCTCTCTCTCTCTCTCAAACACCAATACAATCGTCGCAGTAACTTGTCAACATGCCGAGAAATAGGTCAGTGGGTAGATTCGGTGGTGCAGTGTCCCAGATTGTGGAGCGTGACCCTTGCCTGAGGTACTGTAACGCCTTCTTGTTACCGTCTGGCTCGCTGTTACTTTCAGGGGTCATTGTATACATAATTACGTAACATTACAGTTCATACGTCACGGAAATACAAAAAGGTATGTATTTTTTTCCAATTACCTGTAAAACTGTGTTGTATTACGTAAAATTTTTGAAATACTTAGACGCGTTTTGATGTCTGATTTCTTGAGACTATATACAATCGCTGCTCTTATAACACAAAACTATTCCACCATCAGTGTGAAAATTAATATATTATTACAATAATTAATGAAAAACCCATCGACATAACACTCACAACGTAAAAAAACAAAAAAAAATCGAAATTATTAATATAACGTTAAACCAGAATCAAAAGATGCCACCAGACTTAAACAGTAAAACAACACAACCACGATATTCAAAACCAAAAGATGCTAAAAACCCAAACAGGAGAAATGGACAAATATATAAGAATGGGTAGAGCTCCCTTTTAACTTGGCTTATATATAAATAATAGCCAGAGAAGAACAAAAAAAAAGAACAATGAGATACAAAACGGCATAAAAAAGGTATAAAAAGAACACGAGAACTAGAACAGAAGAAAAAGACAGCGAGAACCGGAACAGCAAGGCCGAATGACCACAATAATGCAGCCAGCGTCCCGTCGTAAACATATAAATTACAGAGGACCGTCACTCTACTTTTGTTTCACTCTGATACTGCTGCAGGGTACGGCTCAAAACAGCGGGAGGAGGAACTCTGATAGAACTTTGTACATTTCAGGATCCGATACAGCCCTGAACAGCAAATAATACGCTCAGGTGGTCTTATAATCAGCAATCAGATGGTATTATAAACAGCAATCAGCTAGTCATAGGCTCAAACTACTTGAAACGTCTACAAGACACTCGGGGCGACTCGTATGTAGACTAGATAATAAATGAACACACTAAAAAATTCCTACTTGAATTCTTTTGTGAGTGGAATGTATTATTTAGAAGTACACTTAATTCGTCTCACGGGGACACTACACATTTACATTACTTACAATTCACTACACGTTTATTATAAGTCACTTCATTTAGTTCGTGTAGCTACTTGTAATACGTTTAGTTAGTCTCAAGTAATATTAGCCACAATACTACTTACAATTCACTTTAATCGCCACATCTACACTGTACATGTAGACTAAACCACTTTATTTTCTTAATTCCTCCATTGTGGTTATTTATACAAGGGCTTCACTTTCACAAGCACCTCTAACGAAGCCAGAGGTTAACATCTATATAAAGAAGTCACCCGTGTTCTCTCCACCACAACAAAACACAGGTGTCGTTTCAATTCATACAGGTTAATTAAAGTAAGTCTGTTGGAGGTTACACTGATTAGAGCTCTGGAACATTGAAGGGTTAAACTAGCTCAACCCACGGGAAGGATGGCAACACACACACACACACACACACACACACACACACACACACACACACACACACACACACACACACACACACACACACACACACACACACACACACACACACACACACACACACACACACCGCCAAAGCAAACCCAATACAGTACTATCATATAACCAACAAATTCCCACCTGTACAGCTCAGACCCTCTGCGACCTGTACCTCGAGGCCTTTCACTGCAAGGTTTATGAGAGCGAATCATTTACTTTCAGCGGGAGTCATACAGCGAACGACGCAAGACATACACGGATATCTGTATTTAGCTGTGGGGGTGTATCTGTGTGTGTGTGTGTGTGTTTATTAAGTGGGTGCGTGTATAGTATAATCGTATGTGGACGTGGGAGTGTGTGTAAATCTACTGCACGTACAGCAGTTTGTGTGTGTGTGTGTGTGTGTGTCCTCCCTCAAGGGGTTTAATTTTTTTGTGGTTTGCAGGACGTGTGTGTGTGTGTGTGTGCGTGTGTAAATATTCATAAACAAGATAATTTCATACATATACATAAAGAGTCATTAAACAACAACACAAACCGCCGTAAATCAGGTCAGACCATAAGTTATAATCACCCACAACAAGAACGTCGACTCTTATCGGACACGTCTCACAAGCCAAGTGCAACATTAACAAAAACAACAGAAAAAAATACAAAAATAAATGCCAGAATTCTTCACGCATGACGTATAAAATTGTGGGGGGGGGGGAGGGGAATGTCACGTCATGCTACGAATGTCCTGTCATGCCACGAACAACAGAATGATGACAAAACAATACAGTATCATTCATTACCTAGCGAAGCCCTTAACAAACAACAAACATCACCAACACGAGCAATCAACAAAGCCTGGCGTTCCCTTCCCTATAGCACATTAACACGCGAATGGTGGCTGTGGTAGGAAGTCTGGCAGGGAACGTGTGTAAATATTGAACACGCAGCGACACCCAGTGATACCAAGAAAGCACGAGTTCACCCTCCACCTGGTACTAACCCTCCACTACACAACCACTCCACAAACCCCCCACACTCCACTACACAGCCACTCCACTACCAACACCCGCCCTACTAACCCTCCACACTCCACTACCAACATCACACGGGTACTCCACTACCAACACCACACAGCCGCTCCACTAACCCTCCACACTCCACTACCACACACCCACTCCACTAAAATCTCCATTACGCGAGTTTCTTTTTTTTCCTCGGCAATAGTTTCCATTAGCGTGATCTCCCAGCGGCACAAGACTACGAGGCTCTCCCTGGACCTACACAGCTGGGGGTAACGAGCCCAACGGGTGTGTAGTAAGGAAGACTGCCACACTATTAAGACCTATAAAGGAGTTCTTGCCGTTTGTTTGTTAGTCTCGTATTATCATCACTTTTTTTTTAAGGGGGGAATATTTACATAATTCCTCATTATATATTAGTGGAGCTTAAGTGTGAGTAAAGTAATTTCAATTTATATATAAAGGTAAAACAAATCATAAATAAAATAGTAAGTTAAGTCTTTCATAATATTGATACTAATTAACTTGTCACTTAGATAAAATTAAAATTACTACTACTACTACTACTAATAATAATAATAATAATAATAATAATAATAATAATTTGATTGCAGACTACTAGCCTTCACGGAGCTACAATATATAACAACAGTTCAGCCTTTAAATTTTGAACTTTTGAATTCATACGAGGGTG